ACGATCCAATATATGCAAACATGGCTTGCCATACTACACCTGCCACATGTGGCCATTTCACTGCGTGCTGACCGGCCGGTTGAAAGAGGTAAAAAGTTCAGCTAAGTTTCAGATGGACTACTACCAGCAATCCATCAGCCCAAATGGATGTTCATTTAGCCGCTGCACTCAGCGGAAGCGCAGCCGACAATTCAAACAGGTGAGATCACAAAATATCCGACATGTCAGAGCAGGACGCAGACAGAAGCAGGGGAAGCAGTTAATGCGCTTTGATGACTCCTCAGCTCCGATCTTCTGCCCCCTTTACTCAGAAGCAAACGTCTACTAACCGTGAATAATAGTCGGTGGTATAAGCAGTCAAAGCTTAATGAAAAATGTCAGGGTTTTTTTCGGGTTCGGCCCTGTAATTACTGTTAATTTGTCGGATTGGGTGGGGTTCGGAGATGATGGCTGCGGGCCGGGTCAGTTCGGATTATTTGGACCCGAGTGCAACTCTAGTCCAGGGTATACTCCGCCTCTCGCTCAGTGATAGCTGGATATGGGAACCAGTAACCCCCAAGAGCCGAAAAGGAAGAAGTGGGTAAAAGATAATGGATGGATGAGTGCCCTTCCAAGGAAAGTGACCTAGGGGAAACACTGTAGCACAAAAGAAAACAATCAGCTGATGTACAGTCTCTGACGATCTCGGAGGATGTTAAAACTAACTTTATCAAACTAGTTTGATCTTTCATATAATAAAGTAAATCTGCCAAGATTTTATTTTATAATTTCCTTTGTCGTTCTTCCTGTAAGTTGTTTGCACTACAACCTGGTTGCCATGGCTACAACGCTGACAGTAGTGACGGCGGCCAAGTGCGCAGCATGTAGTTTTGTTTTTGTTGAGGTGGGAATGATTTCCTTGGCAATTCTGAATATAAATGACCATAATTCTTTTATTCTGTATCACAGATGTCCAGTAATTGAAAAGAAGTAAAAAAAAAAATAAAAAAAAAAAAAACAGGAGCCATTTTTAGGCAAGGTCACAAACTCTGAGACACCAGGGGTTCGATTTAAGGAAGCTACAGAGAGAGGAAAATACTCGGGGGGTAAAAATAGTCCTTTGGCACTTCCACTATTAACTGCCTCACTGTAACCAAGCCGAGATCTGATCAAATAAAAATATCAAACTGAAAACCAAAACTGAATAAAGAAAGTAAAGCAACCATCAAACAAAAATGCCAAAACAACAGCAGGTCTTCTAGATAAAAGTTAAAACCACAACTAAATAATTTCTTTACAAAACCCAACCTAAAAGGGAAAAACGATGATTTAAACTCTAGCTTGGGACAACAGAGTCCCATCCACTTCCATTTAGGGCTTATTGAAAGCTGATAACTGCAGTTAACTATAGCAGCGATAACACGTGATCTATTCAAAGGGTTGATAAGATCTCAGAGCTGCATTTAAGTCTAAAATAGATTTGGAAGTAAATAGGAGCACAGATTTTAGTGTTTTCACGTCCTTATGTTCCTTTATAAAAGAATCAGACTGTGTGGCATCTGGCATAGAGCTGCAAATACTAATTATTTACACAAATGTTTCATAATTCAAATAAATAAATAAATCCCACGCTGAACTGAACGTTCAAAAGTCATGCTTTAGAAATAAGACTCAAATTGCTTGTTTTGGCTCAGTTCTGGTCACTATCACAGTGATTACTCATAATTTTTTAATGTATTTAAATTGATTTCTATTTATTTTTATTGTTGTTTTTAAGTATTTTAGCTTTCCAGCCAAGGAGCCTCATCAATCCAAATTGAAAAGTGTGAAGTTACACAATTTTTTTAGCTGTTGTTCTGTTGTGAGCTGGACTGGACTTGAATGTAAATGAATCTCCATCCCCTCCCTCCTGAGAGTCATTAGGGTCTTTATTAGCCTGGTCCAGATGAATGACGGTGCAAATTTGTGACACTGTTAGGGGTTTAGATCAAAACATTTTGTATGACTTAAGCTAAAGAAAACCCTAATGTCTCACAGAAGAAAGGGAAGGGAGATTAATTTGTATGCGACTTCTGTTCACAGAAATGGAGCATTACAGTTTTAAAGCTTGGAATGCCATGCCTTTACGTTTAAATGAAGAAAGTTCACATTTTTATTACTCTCCCTTTCTTCTTTCTTGACAGTCATAAGGGTCTTTGTTAGTCTGGTCCACATGAGAGATGTTTTGGTCTTGTGAATGAAGGTGCAGATTTGGGCGAAACTGTTAGGGGATTGGCTCAGAAACATTGCATGTGGACTAGGCCAACAAAAAACCAAATGACCCTCAGCAGAGAATGGAAGGAAATTAATTTGCACGTGAGCTTAGCTCACTCACAATAACAGAGCAACTTATTACCATTTTAAAAACTGGAATGCCACGTTTTTTGGTTTAAATTAAGAAAGCTCATTTGTTAACTTCTCTCTTCCCTCCTTACTGAGGGTCATAAGGGTTTTGGTTAGCCTGGTTTTGGTCACACAAATGAAAGTGCAAATTTGAGTGAAAACTGTGAGAGAACTAAATCACAAAATCTCTTATATAGAGTTGGCTAAAGAAAAGCCTAATGACCCTAAAGATGGAGTGTGATTTGCATGCGAGTTCAGCCTCCAGAAACAGCACAACCCTGCAGTTTTAAAGCTTGGAACTTCACAGTTTGCAGTTTGAATTGAGAAAGCTTACATTTTTATTACTCTCCCTTCCCTCCTTACTGAGGGTCATAAGGGTTTTTGTTAGCCTGGTTTTGGTCATATGAATGATGGTGCAGATTTGAGTGAAAACCGATAAATAAATCACATCATCTCTTATATACTGTACACTTGGCTAAAGAACAGCCTAATGACCCTCTGGATGGAGTGTGATTTACATGTGAGTTCAGCTTCCAGAAACAGCACAGCACTGCAGTTTTAAAGCTTGGAACTTCACACTTTGAATGGAGAAAGCTCACATTTTACTTACACTCAATTCCATCCCTAATGACGATCATAAGGATCTCTCCCTGACCACGTGAAATATGTGTGTGTATCGGGAGGGGGGGGGGGGGGGGTTAAGATCTGCCATTTCCAGGATGACTGAGAATCAACAGGTCACAGTTTAGGGTTTTTGGTTTCTGACCTGTCACGGGGGCCTCGATGTCCAGCAGATTCTTCTCTGAACGCAGGATCGCAGCTCCCTCCCCTATGAGCCTGAGGGCCACAGACTCCTCCACACGGCCCTCCTTGGTTAGGTGAGCTTTCAGCACATCCACTTTGGGCTTTCCATCAACGTCAAACACCTCTTTAGCTGTCAGCCGGTGACTGAGGGGGAAAGGGACAGCTGCAAGAATAAAAAAAGAAGGAATAATTAAGCCTGATATCCTTTCATAACATATTTACAGTGCTATGAATTTCATTGGCAGAAGGATTACAAGGATACATCGTTAATTCCACATCGCTGCATCGAGGCGCTTAACTTGTTTGATTAGCAGGTATTTCTGACTTCCTGGGGATCGACTCCCTGCAGGAGGTCACTCCCCGGCTTTCAGCCCACCCGCTGAGACAATTTACCCAACTGCTGCTATGATCTGTGACTCATTTAGTTTTCAATATTTATAACAGAGCCACAGATTTTCTAGTTTACTCGACAAGATTCAGAGCAAACAAGATGACGCTTTGATAGTGAACCAGAGAACTGAGACATCTGTTGTTTTATTTACATGGAAACGCCTTTCATACGAGGACGGAGTCTGAACAACGTGTGCGGTTTAATGTGTAACCACGTCGGTATTAAACATGCCCTGATTCATGTGTTGGAGCAGACCAACGCACACATTTGATTCAGCGTGGTATGGATTTACTTCCTCCTCAGACATTTCTGTGTCTTGAGCTTGGCGGACATCTTGAATGGGACCAATCAGTTGTAGAGGTACATCCAATGATTTCTTGGGAGTTTTATTAATATCTGTTCAGGGTTTAATGAGATATTTTGCTAACAGACAGACAAATGAACACACTAAAGTTCAATAAAACTCTAGGCAGACTTTAATTGGAAACAGTTTGTCACAAAATAACAAATAAACCTCAAGCTCAATAAATAAAATGGACCGTGACTCCCGTGACCCGAAAAGGAAGCGGGTAAAGATAATGGATGGATGGATGGATGGATGGATGGATGGATGGATAAATGGATGGATGGATGGACCTCGTGCCATATATGAACTTTCCATCCAATCCACATGCAAATGTTACAAACTGTTTCATTAACATGAGCTGTGAACAAGGGCAGCACGGTGGCGCAACTGGTAGAGCTGCTGCCTCTCAGCGAGAAGGTCCTTGGTTCAAACCCCGGTCCAGGGGCCTTTCTGGGTGGAGTTTGCATGTTCTCTCCGTGCATGCGTGGGTTTTCTCTGGGTACTCCGGTTTCCTCCCACAGACCAAAAACATGCATGTTAGGATGATTGGTAACTCTGAATTGTCCCTAGGTGTGAGTGAGAGAGTGAATGGTTGTTTGTCTCGTTTGTCTCTATGTGTCCCTGTGATGGACTTGCGACCTGTCCAGGGTGTACCCCGCCCCTCGCACAGTGATTGCTGGACATGGGCACCAGCGACCCCCGTGACCCAAAATGGAATAAGCGGGTAAAGATAATGGATGGATGGATGGAGCTGTGAACAATCTGAGTGCATGTTTGTGTTATTATCCATCCATCCATCCTGAAGGTGAGATCAGCGGTAATCAGAGCGCAGTATTTCCCCTACCGTTATCCAAGGAGGGCGCCCCGCCCTGTCAACAGAACTGAGCGCACTGACAACCGACTTGACCTTCCAACCACAACTCAAACCCCCACCTCCCTTTGACAGTTGCCAGCACTGACGTAGTGCTAAGCTAGTTGCGCACAATACAGATGCGCTAGCTAAGCTACAGACATAGCGTTCTGCTTCTTTCACGCATCCCACCTCCCGCCCTCCATGGACAGTGGTAGGGGAAACACTGCGCTTAGTTTTTTTTTGTTTTCCTTTCGGCTGATCCCTTCTTCAGGGTTTGCTACAGCGAACTAATTCACACAAACAATTGGCAATTTTTTTTTACTCTGCATGCCCTTCCTGACACAACCACCGAGCTACCACAGCCCTCTGTGTGGAGCAAAGAGATGCTATCTAGGGTGCCAGGGGGAGCAGATGGTGAGGGTTAAGGGCCTTGCTCAAGGGCCCAGAGTGGGGCAAATGAGGGTGGAGGCAGGTGTGGTTGTTCCAGTTCCCACCTACATTTTGATGTTGTTGGTCCTGGGAGTTGGACCACATACCTTCGATCACAGGCTCACCTTCTCGGACCTCTGCACCACCACACCCCCAAACACTGTGCTTAGAGACCTGTATACTTTATAGGAAAGCATTTTATTGGTTATACTGGTTGAGGACTCAAAAAGACTCATAAATGCCCAAACCAGAAAATCACTGCAATGCCACTTTAATTGGTGATATGTGACTTATTTTTTTCATTTAGCCTTTATTTATCCAGGTAGTCTCATTGAGCCACGAGAACTCATTTTCAAGAGACCTGTTTTAGGGAGCAGATGGTGGGGGTTAGGGGCCTTGCTCAGGGGCCCAGAGTGGGGCGAATGAGGGTGGAGGGAGGTGTGGGTGTTTCACCTTTTCCACCCACTTTTTGATGTTGACGGTACTGGGAGGTGAACCTGCGACTTTCCGATCACAAGCCCATCTTCTAACCTCTGCGCCGCCACTCCCCCACTATCTGTGCTGCTGATTATCCATGCTGCTGATTTCTTACCTTAAGCTGCTATATTCATATCCATCTGCACACAACAGACTCATGTTCAGGCTGCTGTTTAATACACCATATTACATTACATTAGTGTATATCTTAGATCCTTGTATACTGCTTCTTTTTATATTTTTTGCTATTTTTGAAAGTAACTGGGACCTTGAGTACACAGTTTTGTTCCACCTCATATACCACGTGATGCAAATGACAATAAAGAACCTTGTATTGATTTCATGGTTGTATTGTTGTATAGCAGGTCTCATGGTCAGTGACACAACTGTGTCTCATTGTGACCTGTATAAACAAAAGAAATGAAAGTTGAGCATATAGCAAGATGACCAATTAACTGAAGCTTAAACAACTCTGTGGTCCAACACATTCCTTGGAAATATGTTATTTCCTGCCTTTCATGGGGGTCGGTGTTCAAAATTGTACTATTGAATGTTGAAACAGTCACAAGACAATTTGGTCAAGCCTTAATAAATAAATAAGTAGTCCCAGGCTGATGAATCAATTGGTTGTTGTTCCCACGAACAGCGCAACTTTATCCTCAACTCGAGCCTTTTTAGATGTTAGAGAACCACATCTAATTGAGAACGGAGAAATCTGGCAATAATTGTCAATAACAGAAATAACCCCAAAGAACACTTTGGTTGTCTCAACAGGTCACTCCTCAGTTTTCCAAAAGTCTAAACAGAGACACTGAACTTTCCTCCAGTGGAAATTCTAACAGGCCTTAAGAACAAAAGTAACACTCACCTCTACCAAAACTTTACAGCACATTGTAACGACAGGTTGTGCACCAAGGACAAATATATCACAGAACTTTAAAAAATTGCTCACATGGTCAAGTTCGGTCAAAGCAAAGTTGCGGCTCCTCAAATGCAAAGTGAACCCAAATAAAAAGGGTTTTATTTTTATTCTTCCGAACGATCCTGTGCATTTATCCATCTTGTCGTTCAGATTGTGCACAGGAACATAAACTGACCGCCGGCAATCTGCCTGAAACTAAAGTGTGACTCAGAAAACAGCACCTGGTGGCTCCCGCCTTCATTATTTGACCATTTATGCATTCTCTTTCTGTTGCATAACTAGAAGATTACATCATGGAGTCAAACCTAACGAGAGAGAAATGATGAGAGCGAGGGTCAGGGGCGATGGCAAACCAAAAAAAATATATAACATTGAACTTTCTGTGGTAATTTGTCTCAAATGAGCATTGTAATTTCCCAACTCCAAATTAAACACATGCATCAGTGGTTCCGTTTAAGACCAGTAACGCCTCTGCAGCGTGTCCTGAATAAGCTTTCAAATGTATTTCATGAAAGTAAGCCATCCTGCATTCATCAGCTTAAGATTTTATGATCTGACGAAGTTATCAAGGTCAAGCTTCTTTTATGTCATTCTCGTCACGTGGTACACGTGGTGGAACAAAATTGTGTAAACAGGGTCCCAGTTACATCCAACAAAAGTATCAACTGTTAAGAAAAACAGTAATAAGATCTAAGACGTGAACTAAGAAATATGTTAAACTAAGAATACGCTAAACTTTCCAACCTTTATTTCCATAGATAAATCACAATGAGCCTCGAAGACTCGTTTACAAGTGAAACTTGTTTAGACGGACAAAAAGTAATGAAAGTGACATGTGTATAGGATTTGGAGGCAAAAAAAAAAAAATCCTATTAAACTCTGACTCCTTGGCCAAGAAGCGAGAGCCTGAGATTGAAAAAAAAAAAAAAACGCCCCGCACATAAGCACATAGTGCACAGCGACGGTTCCAGGGGGTGTCACTAAAACTTCCAGCTATAACACTACCAACTTAATCAAGCATCTCCAGAGATTTTACCCTAAAGAGCACGCTGAGTTTGTTGAACAGAATTCAGCAGTTTTTCTGTATCAGATCGGCATCGGCCGATACTAAACCTCAGATATCGGTATCGGAAGTGGAAAAAGTGGATTGGTGCATCCCTACTCTCGAGGGGTGCCAAAGTCGACCTAGGACAGCTCCAGAGAGAATCCAAGAGTCCTGAAATGATGAAGTTTATTCAGCCGCGCCCCTCTGATAGGTCCACATACTTCCTCGGTGGGAGGAGAGGGGGCAGGGCATTGAATTTATAGGGCCTCCAGGTTTGGAAGATATGTAGAGAGAGGCTCTGGAGCAGTTTCACAGACAGGACAGAGCAAAAGCAAAGTGGAGGAGGGAGAGGAGGGGAAAAGCATCCGCCCTTGACAAGAGCAAGTGGTGAAACACTTGAAAGTGCAAAAACAATATGCCGAACAGCAGCACGAACATGAGTCTGTGTGAGCAGGTGAGTATGAATGAATACAGCAGCATGAAATAAATCAGCAGCATGAGATCAGCAGCATGGATAGTCAGCAGCACATATCAACAATCAAGTGGCATTACAGTGATTTTTTTTTCACAGTGATAATCCTGATTAGGGATTCATGAGTCTAACAGCCTCAGGGTAGAAGCTGTTCCTCAGTCTAGTGGTTCTACACTTATGAACTCATCCAGCCTCAGATCATCAGCCATCGTTCTCTCATGCAGCTGA